TACCGTCATCTGTGCCATCGCAAGGTGAAGCGAAAAGGGTCGATAGATCTATATAGCCTTATACCTTATCTTCGACTGTTTGGCGTACAGAACGGCATCTTTGATTTTTGGTCGTTGATGCAGGTCGGAGCTTCGGATCCTATCCCTTACTTATGTGAAACGGGATACTCCTAGCATCGTCCTTTCGACTGCGCTTTCGATAACGCTGAGTGATCGATCTTTCATCCTGCTTACGCAGCGACCAGGTTTCTGGCGCATACGTTAGGGCAGGAAGTAGCGTTGAGTGGAAAAGGTGGGCACGGAGTTGGGTATCCTTTGTTTTCTTCACTACATCCTCGATGTTCTCGAAAGCTCCCCAAGCCGCTCATTTCCTTCTGCTCAACTCTGGTGCTAAGTGATTCATCAGCTGACTTCCCGACCTACATAGACGTAACTGGAGCATTAGAAGATATTGGTTCCTTTGATCATGAATGAAGCACACGAAACCACTTCGTTGCTCATTAACATGGTTTCTGTGAGATTTAGTCGAAGACCAATCTTTTCGCAAGCGTTATCAAACTACGAAAGCTTATTTTCCATTTGGCTTCTGCTTGATTGAGAACGATGTCGTCCAAAAAATGAAAATGGTGTAATTACCGGCCGTCAGTTTTCGCTCTCGTGGTGTCTCATTCCAATGTTTGAATGACGTTCTCAAGGGTGGCGGTGAATATTATTGGCGACGTGGTATTGCTTGGCCTAACCCCTCTTTTGAAGTCGATGTTAATATCGTTGTAGAATGGTGATGTCTTTTGGCTTTGGAATTTCTATATAACTCACAAAAAGTTTTCATAAACAGAATAGAGACGCCCTGCTGTCCAAGAGTTCCATGACTGTTTCTATCTCAACTGGGTCAAAAGCTTTCTATAAATCGATGAAAGTGAGAAAGCGCGGTCTGTTGTACCCTCGCGATACTCCAATGAGTCTTGTTATCGTGTGGATGTGGTCCAGCGCATTGAATTATTTTCGAAATCCTGTTTGCCCACATGGCTGTCCTTCGTCCAGCGCTCTGTCAATATTGCTTAGGACGACTGGCATGAAGAGTCTGTAGACGATAGACTACAGTTGCATCGGGAGATAGTTGCCGATTTCGTGGAGTCTACCCTTCCTGAACAGTAATACAGCCCTGCTGGTCTTCCATTAAATACATTGCTCTCTGACCTGTGACGTGTGAGCACACGAATAAATGTATTCAGCCTTTTTGTGCTATACCTATTTGTCATTCCATAGTTGAATTTCAAGCGATTTAGGAGATTATTTTCGATTAATGTTCGTATTTCTCAGCCAGCCATCTTTTCATGGGTTTTCGTTATTTGAGGTTTTGAATGCTTGCAATCAATAACAGTGATACTGTCAATTGTACTTTAAAGTAGCATCTGCTATATTCTTCGAACATACTTTGTACATGTGACCTGCTTTGACATGTTGTTCAGAACGTGGCTTCCAGTGAAATACGATTTCTGTTTGCTTCGAAATAAGCTTTTGCAGAGTATGAGACCTTATGAATAAGTAGTTATGAAGCTTATTCTATTGTTAAGCATACATGGACAGATTTCTTTTCCTTGATGGCAGGGTATGGTGACGCCTGGTTTCTTTCATCTGATGTGGTTTTAGAATATACAGAATATATAACGTATATATATATGTATGCACATACATATACACATATATATATACATATATATATACATATATATGTATATATATATATGATGCCACGTATTCGACTTCATCAAGCACTTAAAGGTGTTTAGGTGCATATTCGATCGATGGGATTTACGATAGCCCACGGATGCATGAAATCCAAATTTTTGTCCATCTAGAGAGATCAGTTACAAATTGCCAATTCAGGATGTATTGAGTGGCTGGCCAGCTCTGACGCATGGTCGAACCAACGAATCCGCGTATAACATGGAAACCTTTAAACCACTGCGTTGCGCAGATACCTTTCTTTTGGGCATGGACGTCAAAACTACCTATGCAAAATACAAAGGCTAAAGTGCTCGCAATAACCGCTGTTTTTCTAGTGATAAGCACAGGAAATGGTGCTGAAAAATTATGGGACAGAATGATCAACAGAGTATGATTGAGGTGACAAGGTAGATATTAAAAAATTATAGGCAGCTATCATCAGTTAACAGCGATTATCGCTATCGCGGTTTAGAAATGGTGAAGCTCTACAGTGAAAGTCTTTCGAACATTTTTTCAAGGATTGAGTCTTCCCGTTTAACATATATGGATCTACACAGATTTACGCCGAGCCCCTAAGCGTGAAAGTTGGTCCACTGTGAACAAGCTGGAAACCGACTGGGTATAGAAATCCATGGGTAGATGGGGATTAGTGCCAGCTCATTTCTTCTTGGTCCATTGGCTGATGTGGATTGATTTCAATTCACAGCGCGTCTGGGGAAAATTGTATTAGTTCAATGCGGGAGCAAGATTAGGTTTGGGGTCACTTGCAAGTGGAAATGTTGACGAAATTTACAGAACGTGAACTATCCGCATCCTGAGAACAAACCATAAGCTGTCTGATTACACATGAAAATCGTTGGCAAAAAACCGATATGGCTATACTCAAGTATCACCACTAGGCCAGTAGTTCAGTTTGGGAGTCAGGCTGTACCTTCCTTGTTGAGTTCTAAGCTCAAAAAGTATACATTGTAACAAATTATTTATCACAATATAGTACTTTTTAGTTGCTGCCTATTCTTTTCTGACGACAGGGTATTATATGAAATATGACCATAATGGTGTTAAGATTATTATGAAAATAATAAAAGAATAAAGGATGAAGTTCTCGGCGTTGTTCAATCCCTGAGGGATGCGCTATGCATTCGACTTCATTAACTATCGTTGGAGGTGATTGAATGTATATCTGGCCTTTATCAAAACTCGAGGTGGCTTGCCGGTGGATGTGCCGGAGCAAGTGCTGCTATCTTTCCAGGCAAGTCTGCTAGCAATTTGCCGACCACGGAGGGCTGAAAGGCTTGGTGGGCCATGGGCGCTGGGATCGATTCCATGTGTGTGTCGCAATGGCCGCTTCCAACCACTGCTCCACACGTGCCCTTATGAAATTATTATTTATTTATTTCTTTCATTTCACACAACCCGTCTTCACAGCTATTGTGCGTGTCCCAACACTTCTTCAATTCGATCCATTTCCTCGCATCCATTGTCTACGAAGATCTTCCTACTTTTACGTGTAGTTTCGGTTGCTGCTTGAGGATTTTCATTTCATCTTGAATGCCGCAGAATGCTGGCCAAGCGATTCTTCCGAGAGCCCTGAGAGAGCCGGACTGGAGCGCTCCTAATTGGATTGCAGAGAGTGGTTCTTTCCTAGTTAGGTCCGGTATCAACTTCCCGTCACCGGAGGGATGAGAGGCTTGGTTGGTCCGGAGCGGAGTCGAGCTAGCACCATGCTCGTAATAACGGGCAACACTACAACTGTGCTGGGAGCCAACGTTATGAAACAACATATTGAGCAAATTTACTCATGATAATCATAGAAATGTTAAGTTATGAGCAGAACTCAGGGCCTCAGTTAAGCTTCAAACACGCGATCACCCTCATCGGGGCTCAAGTTTTATCGATTTTTACTCTACCGGTATCATCAACAGTATAAAAGAAATGTCGTGCTAATGCATTCTGTCTAGCCATTTATAATCATACTCATTCAAGGAATGAAAGCACTATCAAACCAAGAAATTGGTTGTGAGACCACAAAGCAGCCAAAGTTTTCAGAGGTTTTCAAATTTAAGCAGCATGTAGACATTTCTGATCGCATGACGATTAATATGCGGACCAAATGTTTCCGAGAAGTTGTATATGAATAGCACTGTACGCGGCGAGAAACTGGGCGCCGCTCTAATCAGGGACAAGCCGAGGCCAGAGAGATGAGTCATTGGTAATGTGTTGATTAATAATCAGCGTGACACATTCAGGTCTGAGCTCGCCAAAGAGTGAAAACACCTACCTGTTCCACACTTTATTAAGCTAATACCGATTAAAAGGAGCGTGTCTACCTTAAATGGAGCAGAGCATAAAGAAATTTGTGGGATACCACGTTTGAAATGATTTCTTCAAATCTGTTGTTTAAACAAAGACTCAACACACTTCAACGTCCCATACGGCATAGAGTGTAGCTTAGAATTGGGGCACCATGGGCTAATAGGCTCTTAGTAGGCCATGAGAGGAAAGAACTGTCTAAGCAAACTACTCAGTTATTTGTACTAACTCGAAATACAACCGCTTCCACTAGAAGTCTTAACAACACTATCTATATAACATGTTCGTGTCCTATCACATACATGTAGGGCATCAAATATCTTGTTTGCTTTGTGCTGAGCCGGTCTCTCTGTAACCGAAAAGAGCCACACTGGAGATCCCTATCCACTAAACGACGCCAAGAAACAAACTTTCATTTTGTGATACAAATGTTGATAGAACATTCACGAGTGTAGGAATTTTTGTGGAGTTAGTTAGGCTTATTTTAAGAAAAACGAAAAACTTTAACTTCCACGGACAAATTTGTCATAACCACAATGATGCTAAGATGTTCGCAAAACTTCGACCCAGGGTCAGATCGAACCACGATTTCCCTTTCCGGGGGCTCGCCAATTACACACTTCGATACGGATGCCCTAATCTGTCATGAATGCTTCGATTTTGAAAAAGCCATTGCGTCGGTAGGCAAACAGACCGTAACATCCGATGACAACTTTATCTCACTCTATTTGTACTTCTCTAATGTTTGAAACTTCTACATCCATCATTAGCATCCTATACGCGAGCGAAATACCCTCAAGAAAGAAGTCGAACACATCGACACTATTCCAACTTTATTGAATTACAAAGGCACACAAACATCCACCAAAAACTGAAAACGGGCGAAAATAAGTTTTCTTCAGGGAGGATAAAGCAGTGCGGAGTTCTGGTACCAAAAGTGTGGTGTGGAATAAAATAAATTAAATGCCTTTCTCCACTAATACGGCGCACAAGCTGGATATCTTTTGGCACGATAGTAGCACGCTTGGCATGATTTGCACATAGGTTGGTGTCCTCAAAGAGGTCGACAAGATAGACTTCAGAAGATTCCCAGAAAATGAAAGTCTGTAATATTATGGAACCAATGTTACAACGGTTAGAAAACGAGCAAAGGTATTAAGATCCCTTGTGCAAGAAACACATGAGTCCTGCAGCGACTCCTAGCTTGTTATGTCCAGGGGACAAAATTCTTAAAAATGTAATGAGAAAGGGACTCGATGTTCCTGAACCAAGAGCTTCCGGCCCTTGCGCACTGTTTCCATTCCATAACACAGCGGATAAAAACAGTTGTGAGTGCATGGTCATATATTATCGTTACCTGAAGAGCGCAGATAGCGGCGGACTGGAAGCGCAGGTCGGTTTTGAAATTCTGAGCAATTTCGCGAACAAGGCGCTGAAAAACGAAGATAGGAATCGGACTCTTATATTCCTACACTTCGACAACTCAAATTATCGAGTTGTCCAGTTGTTTCACCTGGAATGGTAGCTTGAGGATTAGCGGCTCAGTTGACTTCTGATAACAGCGAATCTTAAGAAGTGCGACGGTTCCAGGACGGTAGCGATGAGGCTACTTCACTGCACCCGTGGATGGAGCGGACTTACGGGCAGCCTTAGTGGCTGGCTATTTGCGAGGAGCCTTTCCCCCGCTCGATTTGCGGGCTGTTTGCTTGGTGAGGGCCATTGCCGATTACCGTTTGTTTGCTGTAAATACAGAGCAGTAAAATAAAACACGAAGATTCAGAACAACAGTAGAAACAGTCGTTTATGGGAGCGACAAAAAAAGTTTCATAGCTTGGAGCACTACATGCCACGAGATATAAGTGATAGTTTCATCTGCATTTTACTTTGTGTTCCAACAATCGGTCTACTAACGTATGGTCCAAGCTCAAGGTGCAAAAATAGTTCAATGGCTTCTAACGTTTACAGAAAAACTTCATTCCAGACCTACCAATCACTTCACGGATAACAAAGATTGCTACTTACCGCAAAAGTTAACAAAAAAATCACTCAAATGATACAATAATTAGTATCTTGCATAATTTCATTATCACTAGTTTTCTCTTCCTCTGTTATTCGACTTGCGGTCAAACAGATGTCTACATTCAGAAAAAGTTTATTTCGTAGATTATTAGTACGAGTGATGCACTGTTCCCAACCCTCTTTAGCCTTTCCAAACCTAATACCTTCTCAGGTCTGGAATCGGCACCGCGCTGGTCTGGAGACAGACTACTCTCTCAGTTCACAAAAGACAAAGACTGCTTCTAATGAAATTCTGGGAACACGCTAGCACGGCTGTTCCAAGATTCCAAAGACAATCGATTCGCTAAGAATTCAATAACATTCACAAAGGAGGTGGAAAATTTCCAAGCATTAGCCGAACCCATACGCAGAACTTCGAAGATGGTAGATGCGAAGGAACGAATGCGAGAATTGGGCACCGGCACGGTAGATATGAAAGACGGATCATAGAAAAGAAATCCTCTTGGTAAAGTCTGCTAATTATCACGACAGCATGACTAATTTCTACAAAGAACAGTCGTAACGTCCATGAAAAACACTATACACAACTGCCGTCTCTCTAACAACGACATCTATATCTCGTAATACCTGAAGTGTTATGAATGTGTCGTTTCGTGATTGTCGAATCAAATCCTCACAGGCCGTTCCAGTAGGTCTGAGTACCTTTCTGTGAACCTTCATCAGCAGACCCGATTGGACTTCTCACATATTTGTCTGTTAGAATGGAAGACTACCGGCTTACGGTAACTTTTTAACACTTATATAGCATTTGATATATTTATTTATGAGATCTTATAAACTGATCTTCTTAAGCTGACGCGAGGTTGGTACAGATCTTCGTTGTCGTTGTCGTTGTTCCGCACGTAACATCACGGCTCTGAGGAAGGCGAAGTCGCCGAAACGTCAGCCATCGATCAATAACATCAAAAACAACGACAACGACAACGAAGATCTGTACCAACCTCGCGTCAGCTTAAGAAGATCAGTTTATAAGATCTCATAAATAAATATATCAACTATTTATGCCGAGGTTCATAGAAAGTCGGTCTTTCGACTTATATAGCATTTGCTTTCATTGTCNGCACGTAACATCACGGCTCTGAGGAAGGCGAAGTCGCCGAAACGTCAGCCATCGATCAATAACATCAAAAACAACGACAACGACAACGAAGATCTGTACCAACCTCGCGTCAGCTTAAGAAGATCAGTTTATAAGATCTCATAAATAAATATATCAACTATTTATGCCGAGGTTCATAGAAAGTCGGTCTTTCGACTTATATAGCATTTGCTTTCATTGTCCGGAAACTGGCAGTTTTAAAGCAGGCAGGTTTTTGAAAATTTTCGTTTCAAAATAACTACTTGGTTAAGCGGTCCATCGACGAGGCACGCTTGAGTGGCAAAAGCCACTTTACGTCACATCAGGTTTACGAAAACCATTGTTTACCATGTGCGCCAACTTTATTGCAATTTCTGATAACATCGTTCTGGCAACGCCAAATGGTGGCAATTAGGAACGAACAAGGGCAGATTTTGACGATGCCTATGGGTACTAATCTACGGCTGGGTCTATCTATCTCTAATCGCCTTCATGAGAAAGAGATTATAACCTACTGCTTCGTTCGTTTCATCTAGTGCGGGCTGAAGGAATGATCAACGCTTGCGGCTTTTGGACAAAAAAGTTGCAACCGTCTCCCGCTTCGATCTCAAGATATCACCAATAATGAATTTTTTTACAACTCAAAAAAGAGCAAGCGAAAAGATTTTTGTGGAAAGCGAAAAGAAATGGTGCAGCTACATAATTTTCAAGACCACTTTTTCTTAGACTCCTCTTAATGGCGTAACTTATTTCGCTTGATGGTAACAGCAGCTTAAAAAATTAAGATTCCTAGATATATCCTCATAGCCCTCAATAAACAATATAAACCACTAGTCCGTAGGACCTAAATCAGATTTCCAATTTCCTTGGGATTACAATTCATCATGAGAGCTGCACATGGAAACCCTAGTACACTATTTACCAGTGCCCTCTACTATAAACGCGGTCTTTGGTTCGATCCCAACCGTCGCGCCTAAAACGCCCTCCGTCACTTCGGGGTCGGTATGGTGGTACCTGAGTAGTCTGGTAGAATAAAAGTACTGATTTGATTCTTCTGTAGGCCAGTGCAAGTCACTGTATATGCCAAATACGCCTGCACTCACCTCTACGAATATGCGAATGGAGTTGAGTACAAGTCGCATCGCTCAAGTAGTTGTCTAAACAGAATATTTTCTTCTTTACCGTTTATCTGGGTGTTTTTACAACAGCAGGATTACTGTTGCCTGAAGTTTCTTTATAGAGACGAGAACATCTTGTATCTTTATGATGGTTTGCTTCGATTTCAGAGTGTCGACGTGTATGAAATTCTGCAGCCTCTCGATTCAACACCACTTATCGAAAGGAAACCATTGGTGGCAGGCAAACAATTTTGCTTCGCTTCAGTTATGAATATGATCCTAGGGATATGTAAGACTTTTTTCTGAGTTTTGGAAATTGTGCCATTTGACTATATCCCTCCCAACCGTTTACCGCCTCATCGTGGTTAGGAGGTGTTCCTGGGTGGCGGACTGAGATGTACAGCGTGAATTCGTCTCCTAGTAACGTCTCCCAAGCTGATAAGGAGTTCGGTGTTTCCATCAGGAAGCCTTGCTAAGAGTAAACCAATACCAGGATCCACTACCGTCCTGGGATCAGTCGCATAGTGGCAAATCGCTCTGATCCACAAGAGCTGCGACTACCTATCGTGGTGACGACCTGGAGCAGACTTTGGCCAGGCTGTCCTCGGGATTCCAGGAAACCACAATGGCTTAAGCAGCAAATCTCTGAAAAATGGTGATTATGCTGGGGTCCGCTCAACTAGTGATGACGGGGCGTTCAATCAAGTATCGAGTGCTGCATGACACCTTCTCATGGCAGGGTATTATGTCAAATACAACCACACTGATAGTGAGATATTTGCAAAACTTCGGACTGCAAAGAAAACTGCCTGTGGTGGTGAAGAGCTGGAACAGACTTTGGCCAGGCCAACCTCGGGAATCCAGGAAACCACAATGGCTTAACCAGCAAATCTCCGAAAAATGGTGATTGTGCTAGGGCGCGCACAACGAGTGAGGACGGGCCGTTCAAGTATCAAGTATCAAGTATTTGACTATATCTACTTTGCTCAGAACAGTGAATGGCATTCAGTATGCTTGGAAGCAAGTAGTGAAATGAAGTACTGATATAGTAATTGGCATCATATCGTTACATACCTCTTCTAAGTTTGACTGTATCACCACCATCACTGTTATATAACGAAGCTTAAGACGAGAGCGTGGAATATCCGTAAACCTCTTAGTGTCTGCGAAGTTTCTTAAAATGAGTTACATGGTGTTTTTACCTAGGAGACGGTGTGATTCATAAAACACGGTATCGTCGTCCCTGTATTTCCTCCTCGGTAACATCATCCTCTCATTTGGCATAATTGGACTCTGCCACCGTATTGACGACATATTTATGAAGAAATCCGGTGAGAAATGGTGCGTGTAAACTCGTCCGTATTCTCTCTACAAAGGATCATAGCACTTTCCTCATGCCTTGCAGGACGATGGGAAACCTTGCAACGTAAAGTAAAGCTTCATCGATTTCTTCTGCTTCAGCTTTAACAATGCCTACTTTTCCGCGTCAATGGAATCATATTCAGCCAACTTATACCATAAAATGGTTAGTTAGGAGTGAAGAAAAGCGAAACTTGTGACAAATTTCTAACTCGGATCATTCACTGCATGGAGTGTAACTATAACATTCAAAATCTGCTTTATCAGTTTCGAATTTCTCTTTAGATATTAAGTTAATCACCGTTGTATACCGATATCGCGATATTCTACTGTACTACCGAGACCGCCTTGCAAATGGCGACGCCGTGAATGAACACAACATATAAAAATCAGTGAATTTCCAACTCCATCTCTCTTCCCTTCCACATCTTTGCCTTTAAAAAACATATAATGGATCCCTAAACTGTTTTGGTTGCTAAGAATTTACTTGGATGCTTATAGAGAGTTAATATTCGTAGCGCTCTGTTTGATAGGAAAATAAGGTGGATGGTAAAATCCTCTAGAAGATTATAAATAGAGAATATCCATTCGTAGTACTGCGAATATGATGCGTAACCTATTAACTACTGCCTATAACTTCTTCATGGGAGAGTGTTACGTGAAATACAACCGCAAAGACGCTAGAATATTTCCAAAACTTGTACCGCAGGCGAGAATGGTAAAAGACCAGCCGAGAGAAGGGCAGAACTAGGGCATCAGTGCTACAGTGAGTAACAGCTGAGTCTTCGAAAAAGGCAAACGTAGATTCGAATATGGGATTAGTACCAGGTTTCGTATTGCGAGTATAGTTCAATCATCATTAATTCAACTCTCTATAAGTCGAAATATCCACTCATGTAATGGTCATAAACCCTTTTTTTCTTCGTTTATGAATTGGTACCAAACATGATCGAGAACTAAGAAATTTAGCAGATGGAGTGAAGTGGGCCCTAGCACACTATCTTTTCCAATATGGACGTCACTTTCACGATCGCAGGCAATGTTACCGCTTCCATAAATGCGAAGAATCATTTCTGCATGAGGAAGAAACAGAAGCTAAATAATGCTAACCTTTTATTTTCTGCCTACTATAATTTTTCACGGCAGGGCATGATGTGAATTACCACGATACTAAGATAATTTCAAAATTTAGACTTCGGGCCAGATCGAGCCACGACTTCCCTTTCCGATGGTTCGCGCATTACACACAGCGCCACCGAGGCCCTCGCATTGCATTCTCTCAGGTAGTTTTCTAACTGACACTGCCACCAACAGTTTAGAAGTTGAATGGTCTATCGAGTGAATATGAAAAGTACAGCGTAAATAACTCTGTGCGACGAAACAAAAGTCGGAACAGAAAATGTGTTGATGTAAATTCACGCCGGCCCACCTGTCTCCGCTCTCGCGCAAGGATGGAACACAATTCGCGCACTGTGTGCTACGTTAAATCTTAGCATCCCAGAGCCAACCTACTCTCATACTTTATTGTAGCTTATTGTATCACCGTCTATTCATTTAATACGCATTTTATTGAAAAATTATGCGAAGCCTTAAATTAGAATGAACCCTGATTATCTACGCTACTTTTTTGGTTTAATTACCCAAGTCTGAGTTCTAACATATCTTCGAATCAACTAGTAGGAAGACCGAGCGAAGGATTCGTCGCCGAAAACACACCTCCCTCTGGTCCACATCGTGGTGAGGACCTGGATACACCCTTGCAAGGTTACGTCAGGACTCCAGGGAGGACCAAGTTGCACGACCAGCAATAGGCCAGCCTCAAAACCCCGCACATTGGGTGCTCCCGTCTATGACGTCAGGCGGTGAGACGACCGGTGAGAGGCCAGAAAATCTCGGGCTACGTAGGACGTCATTGTAGTCGGATAAGACGAACAGACGCACGACACACCATGGAGAATGTTTCATACTGTGCACGTGTAATGGCAGAACACTCTCCACAGACGCCGATCTTCACGCCCTTCTTGTAGGCTCGGATCGAATTAAATTTTATGTGATCGCAACAAAAAACAAAAAGCAAGAAGACCGACATACGCCAACTAAACAACAGGACCCTTGTTATCCGCGTCCCGTCACGAAATTTCGGTGGCGTAGGTTTTGTCGTCCACCCGTCCATTGTCCATCTCGTCGACTCATACATGATCCTTTACCCTCGCATAGCCGTCCTCCGTCCTCAACTGTCGCATCATAAGAAGATCACTATCATCAACTGCTACTCACCGACCGACACAGCTGATGAGTTCGAATTAAATGCGTTCTACTACCAGTTGGAGGAAGTCGTCCGCAATAAAAAAAAGCATATTATGAATTTGTTGTCGGACACTTTAATGCCAGAATAGGGAAGGCCAACGAGAGCGAATACAGGATCGGAAACTTTGGATTAGGAGAAAGAAATGAAAATGGGAACCGTCTCGCAGGACTTCTGTCAGCAGCACGTCTCTTCTATGTGAACTCCTTCTTCCAGAAGAAAGAAAGCTGCCGCTGGGCATGGGAGTCCCAACGGCATGACTCATGCGGAGATCGACCATACTCTGGCAAACAGAAGATGGTGTCTACTTGACACATTGGCAGTCCCGTTATTCTGTACTGGTTCCGGTCATCGCCTTCTTCGCGCGAAGATTCGATTCAGCTGCTAGCTGGAAAGAACTCTCTTAACCGACCACGAGGAAAAAGTTTAGCTGTATACGACGAGAACATTCTGAACGAAGCCCTCTCCAAACGTGACTGGTAGATTAAAGAAGACTTGAGCGAAGACTACGAGCTGCTTGCCGAAGGATTGAAAAGTTGTGTCGAGTTAGCTTCAGTTCCTCAAGCAAGAAGATAGGATCGCATCTTCATCACTACTAAGGATTTGCTCAAAAATAGAAGGAAAGCGAAACTTGATCCTACTGCAACACGTTTAACATGGCTGGTAATAAATGCCAGCTGCCGAAGAGCATTGCAGAAAGATCTACAACGGTACGAGCAGAAGAAAATACTGGAAGCAGCAGAGAAAAGAAGCAGTCTGAAAAAAATGCCGTCGGGACTTGTGTGATTATGTTCTGCTGTCAGCCCTGATGAACGAAGATGGAATCGACAAAGCTTCCCTCCATGATATGGAATTAATAGCAGAAACGTTCTACACCAACCTTTTCCGTTCCACAATCCCCGCCCCAGGCCCTAATATCCCCGCTGGAGAAAGGCCACCTGGAATTCTTCCGTCAGAGGTTCGAGTTGCGATAGAAAGCATGAAAAGGGGCACAGCTCCAGGACGCGACAATATCACTGCCGATTTCCTTAGAGCTGGAGCCACAATTTACATGTACTTCTCGCAAATCATATGACAGCCTCCCTTCAAAAGGAAAAAATCCCAGACCAGTGAAGGACGTCGCGGACGGTTATCCTATTCAAGAAAAGAGATCGAAGGGATCTTCGTAATGAGAAAGCGTTTGACAGTGTCGAAACGAATGCAATCCTATCAGCGCTCGTCGAGCAAGGAGTGGAGCCGTCCTACATAAGGACTCTGTCCGACTGTTATCGGAGCTGCACTACGAAAATGCAGCTTTTCCATCGATCTCTTACAATACCCATAGGAAAAGGGGTTCGACAGGGCGACACAATATCGCCCAAGCTGTTCAGTGCCGCACTGTAGTAGTTAATGAAGTCACTCGATTGGGAAGAGAAAGGCATAAGTATTGATGGAAAATTCCTGTCAAACCTTCGTTTTGCCAACGACATTGTCATCTTCTCAAGAAGTACTAGCGAAGCAGAAGTGATGATCAACGAGCTCAACGAGGCGGGGAAAAAGATCGGACTTCGCATAAATCGAAAGAAGACCCAGTTCATGAAAAACCTATGGTGCGAAGGCGAAAAAATTGAATTCGATGGCTCTCTCATTGCAGAGACCACCTCGTACGTTTACCTTGGGAGACCAATGAACATGGAAAACAACGTGAACGAGGAACTAGATAGAAGAGCAGCTTGGGTCGCCCATTCAGGCCTCCCAAAGAAACCACCGACCAACTGAAGGACCCGGAAATCCGCGCTCATCTCTTCGATTATACGATCGCCCCAGCGCTCTATTATGCTGCAGAGACGTTGGTTGATGGTCGTCGGCACTCTCAATATGTAACCGGAATGCGAAGCTCTGACCTTCGAAATCTGTCACATCTTTGAGATCCAGGAGAATATACATCGACAGCGAAACATAGATGGGCCGGTCACATAATGAGAAGAGCTGACGACAGACGGACGAAAAGAACGGTAAAGTGGACTCCACGAGAATGCAAACGTTCTCTTAGACGACCACCTACACGTTGGGCGGACGTGTTCGTAAACAAAGTTAATCAGCTGTACCCCCAGCTGCAGTTGATTTACAGGTCACGGTATGAGACTCGCAAGCGCTGCCATGCTCGAACAAGACCACCATGGACTACGATTGCGAGAGAAAGGAACGAATGGCATATGTGCTAGGGTCCGCACAGCACGTGAAGACAGACCGTCCAAGTATCCAAGTAAGTACTTTTCTTTTTCTTTAAGTGTTCGATGGAACCGCCACCAGTGGATCGTTTGCGAAAGGAACTGCTTTTCTTTGCTGTGCCATCTGTATCCAAGTATTAAGTTCCTTTTCTTGCCATCTCCATCGCACTATTCCTTACCTATCTACACGTTTTCTTCATAATTGGCACCAGCGTTTTCAAGGAATTCATTGCAATCGTCGACTTCTGTGCCACTATCGGTGGGTAAAAACTTTTCCACACACATGATATCCATGCATAGAAGTCCTAATGCGACATTTGGGTTAACATTATCGGATTAGAAAACAATAGAAAAAGAGAAACTGTACTAGGAACCAATGTGTGTTCCATACTTTCGTCTTCCAATGGTGAAGAGATACCCTGCTCTGTCCGAGATTTGTCACAGAACTCCTTCTGTTCACCTAATAGTCCTTATGTTTTGGATGATTTCCTAGTGGTCACGTAGCTTTCGATTTAGAATTTCTTCGTCTAGTAATTCAATAAAAGTAATTTAGCACCATTTTCTTCCCATGGACTTGTTTTCGAAAATGCGTTCTGGTTCTGTGCACCTACCGACTTGGTAAGAAATAGTTAATGAGGAGCGAAAAATTTCTACTGTCTTCTAAATTTGAACTTTTCAGATCGCCTTCAACTACTCAACCTATTCCCTTTCGTTCATGATTCTTGACAACGTTCAGTGGATCACTGGAATAAAAGAATGCGCACCAGCACGTACAGTAATAGTAATATAAAATAGTATGAACTGAGTAGATTTATTGTAATTCGCGCTATGTGGGCGCTGGTCGTTCATCTTATCAGCAAAAAGGAGGGCCAAAGTAGTCCTGAAAAAAATAAAGTTTCTAGTTAGAAGCAGCCTTGAATCCATAGCTGTGTGGATTTACGTGCGTGTGTAGGCAAACATGCATCTACGGCCGGATCAAGACGATTGTTAACCTTTTTATTCCCTGCCTATTTTTTTTAACGGCAGAGTATGTTGCGAAATATAACTACTATAATGCTGAGACATTTGCAAAACTCCGGACCGCAGGTGTCTGCGGTGGAGAACGAACGCGTTATTGTCCTTTCCGTGGAGTAACTCGTTCACCATCAGACCATGCGGCTCCTTCGTTTCGCCTGTCTCTCAGTTAGTTCTATCGATCTTCTTGACATCAGCAATCACCCCTCCCCAGATCAATTCCGCTGACGTGTGGTTGATGTTGGCAAGAAGATCGATAGAACTAGCTGAGAGACAGGCGAAACGATGGACCCGCATGGTGTGGTGGTGAACGTGTTACTCCTCGGAAAGGACAATAGCGCATTCGTTCCCCACCGCACACACATGCGATCCGGAGTTTTGCAAATTCAGAATTATAGAAGACGATTGTCTTCAGGACGTCGTAGGGGTGATGTACGGTAATTGAGAAGCTTTATAGTTGAATTATGTTAGTTCCTATATCCGTTATAGGGCGACGTTATAGGGCCATAGTGGTGGTCATGGCAATCGTCACGAGTACGGTACTGGTTTAATGCCGCTCCGTGCTTACGAGGCTTGTAATCCCACCGAGGTCGTAAAATTGGTACCGAAGTTGTCTGGGAAAAGTTCGCACTCTTCAATCCAAATGGGAATTATGAGGAATTATTCCGTATCCATTACGAAAGCAAATAATCTTGATTCCACATCGACTATTCTGAGGACGATTTGTCACCGATTATCGACTGCCATCGCTCATGAATATTTAAATTATGATGAGATGGCTGCATCAAGTGATAGAAGTGGTAGCGTAACGATCTTCAGTGATCCACCTGCCGTCGCAACTGTTCATTCAATGCGTTACTTTAATGTTAAGCTAACCGAAGGTTGGTGAATAACTTTATTGGAAATATTGCTTATTCAATAGTTTTCTTTCTCTGAAATGAAAGTAACCGTTGTCATCAGAAGTGACAGGACCTGGAGCGACAGCGACATGCTTGTCTATTTCAGAATTGGGGCGTTTTTGCTGGAGAAAACGGTGGTGGAACTCAACTAACTCGTGATGGTTCCTCAAAAGTACTAACATAATCCTGCCATTCCTCATTCTTAGGTAGAATCATTCGCTAAGCTTACGTACTCCTCTGAAGAATCTCTGGAAAATGACGTTAAATCGACCGCTGCTCTAGGAACTCTTGATGGAAGTCGAAAACGAGAAGGGTTGAAGAAGAAAGTTCAAAGATTTTGAGAACAACTAAATTGGCTCCTCTTATGTCGATAATCGGGAGTTTAATGCTGTTTTTTAACGTTCCTTTAATTGACACTGTAATACCTTACTTTTCCTACTTCTAACCACATGTGCAGTTAAAAATATGGAAAAGTTGGTCCGAAAAAGTGAACCTTCTGCTAAATGCTTTAAGAAACGACATCGGGTGACGTTCAGAGCGAATAGGTAGGTCCGTAGACGAAGATGGAAAATAAACGAAATGTAGACGTTACCAGTAAACGTCTCCTATGAGTATCCTTTAGCAAACGCGACCATTATCGTTAACAAACCTTCCAGAAACCTACATTATCCGAACATATGGCGGCTTTTTCTTTCGGCCCTTTCAGTAGCTGCCTGTGCTTGTCTACTTGTATTTCAGCCTTTATAGATGTGTAAAGTTGTCATGAGAAATAATTTGGAGCTTTTATAAGAAGGAAACTCGTGCAAAGTTGTAACGCTGGTGCTAGGTAACATTATCGGTTCCTCCTCGTAGTTTCTTCTTCTTTCTCTTGCTGCTCTCATCGTCCCGCCTTAAGGACTCAACATCTCTGAAATTGTATTCTCGAAAATCAAGTATAGAATAAAATTGGCCATTTTTAACAAGGCGTTCTTAAGCAACAAGTCTTTTCACAACTTCTTGTCGAAATCAGCTAATCAGCAATTATGGGTTCCATGCGCATCGTCGCTACAGATGAGGAATGACAACAGATAATTCTTCGTATTTTTGTTGAGCAATCGCGAGGTGTTATTTTTATTCTTTATTCACGAATAAGCTAACGTTTCGGCTGATTTCGCCTTCCTCAGAGCCTGGAAAGGTCAAGTTGACAGCAATCTATTCGGCCAGACACCTCCATAACCAAACAAGGAAAATCTAAACCAAAATTTCAATCACACTGAACACAGAGTCTTTGCACACTCACCGCTTTCTTTGAGTTTTCCACTAAATCGATCCTCGCGCAAGAATCGAGAACACAAGCGCGCAAAACTCTAAAGGCATTCTGGATTAATTCCAAGAGTCCGAAAATGAACAGCAGGGAAGAATGCCTCGTTATCACGCGTGATATTGGGCAGTATATAAACCTGTTATTCTGCTGGGAGGGGCACATTACACTTCCATATGAATTCTGTGCGGTAGGTCTTCACGCGGCATACTCAGTGGAAGCCTCATAGGAAGCGG